TACCGGAAACGAAAGCCAAAGGTGAATCTAGACAGGATATAGAGGTTACAGAACCTCACATATAACGCATACAAAAAACCGAAAAGAAATTGTATAAAACCCCCGAATCGAGTTGATCCTTGGAAAACTCTTCAAGTAGTGTCGACCTTCTTTTTTATGTATTTCCTCGGTGACTGACTAACTGACGGAATGACTGAGTTACTAACCAACTGAATGACTAACTGACTGAATGACTGAACTGACTGGCTGACTGGCCGGACTGGCTGCTTCCGCTTTTTACGTTCATTGCCTCTGCCACAATTTTAATTTTCCTAATGGATATCGATCCCGGGGAGTCCTCGTCGCAGCAACAGCAGCAGCAGCGGCAACAACAGCAACAAAACTGGCTGGCAAAAAGGATAATAGACTTCTTTATTGTGCATGCGACTCTATAAAAGTCAACTCCTGGACTTTGTTGTGCTCCACTCGCTCCCGTTTTTCCCTCGCTCCTGCCTTTCGCTCCTGTTGTGTTCTGTTGCTCATGCGAAAATTCAAGGGGGTAGGAGGCGGTGGGGTTGAGGAGTGTGGGTTTTGGGACACACAACAAACCAGGCCAGACACACAAATACACAAATACACACACCTTGGTACAGGTGGAGAAACAGCAAAGATTTTAGGAATCACTTTATATGTTTATCGAAAGGAAAAAAGTCTGATTTCATATCGAAAATATTGAAAACTTTAATGTATCTAAATTTTATAAATCGAAAAAAGGAAGAGCATCGAGAAATGTTATTTAATTTATATTAAAAAATATTTTGAAATTTTATAAAGCGAAATTTAAAATTTTGATAAATATCGAATTTAAATATAATATATATTTTAATAATAAAATATTTTAAACATGCTCTTTGATATTTTTTATTTATTTTTCCAGACAGTTTATCGATTTATTCAACATAAAAATATTGCAAAGATGAAATATTGCATTATAAATCGACTTTTGCGTCAAATATCGATACAGCACTAAAATATCGATATTTTCCGATATTTTATAAATATTAATCAATTTATTTTCAAAACAAGACTCAATTTAATTTCATAAATTAAATAATTAAAAACCAAAAACCTCCCTTTTCCTTCTCTCAGTGCACACAAATACAAACATAGAACTGAGGACTCTGCATAAATACTTAAGCAACAACCTCACACAATAAATAATCTGCTACGTCATGCAAAAGAGGGAAACTCCAATGGCGGAGTCCTTTTCGAATAATCGAGGAGAAGAGCTGCTCGTCAGGTTGGGGTGAGTGAGGTGGTTCCAAAGAGTTGGCAGACATTGGAAATTAGATTTCAGCCGGGCTTAGATCCCCATTTATTCCCCAAGCCCCCAACTCGCCGTGTAATCCAACCGCAACTACACATGGCAGCGTTTATTTCGAATTTCATTTAACATCTGCCCCGGATCCGCCAAGAGTGCGAAAATTAAATGAGCCACAAGTCGGGGTAGCGAGATTTCCACACCTTTCTGTTTGTGTAGGTGTTTTTCCCCCCTAGCTTTCCCGCCTCTATTTGCATACATTTTCAATTTCGACTTCTTTTTTGGCAAAATCTTGTTGCTAGAAAAATAAAAAGAAGCTGATTTAGGAGGCAAAAACAGCAGAAGATTGAATATTGCCTATTTGCCATTTGTGTTTATATTTGCATTTCAGTTTGACTTGAAAAAAAAGAAAGACAGGAACATGAAAAGGCAACCTTTGCACAGATAAACTTTGAAAAATTTGTGAGGAGGGAAAAGGGAAAGTGAAACTCAAGAGCGGATCGGTGTTACCTTATAAAGGTCAAAGTATATTCAAGTTTTAAGTGGAAGTATTTTTTAAATAAGGAGTAAAATATATAAATATTTACTAAGTTTAATTTTATAAAACTCTCTAACCATATTTTGAATAACAAAATAAGCAATATTTCTGTTATAGTCAAAGGATAAATTACTAAGAAAAAGTACTAAATTAGTCAATTAATTACACAAGATTCTAAATTAGTTACTTAAAGAAGCAAGATTTCATTTATAATAACAAATAAATATTCCGATTTGGCATTTACTTAAGCTAAAACCATTTCAAGGTTATATTTTGAAATGGCGACATATTTATGTACCAGTTTTAGCCAATTTAGAATATGACAGGCTTAAATAAATTCTTGAATGTATTATGTATGTTATGTATATGTTATATTTGTTTACACAACCTTTTAATAAAATAAATATTCCAGACAGAAAAGTATGAAAAACATGTTTTATAAATAATTAATTAATAATAAATAATAAGAAGAAACGTATTTATAAATCACAAATTATTTTTATTGTATTTTTAAATATAATTTTTTATAGAACCTATTGATTTTGTGGTATTTATAATTATCTGAAAGAATTTTCTGTTGAAACTGTTGATTTTGCGTATTAACTAAAATTTTTCTTAATTAACTAAAATTTATTATAGTTAGAAAATAAATACTTAAAGAAATAACCCAAATATAAACACTCTCCCAAGGCTATTTATAAATTATAAATTAACCTAAAGCTCTTTCCAAATATAAATATATATAAATACTATTGATTTTCTTAATACCTATAATTACCTGACTACTACCAATCTCCCTTAGCTGCTCCCCACAATTATAGACCAGTTCTAGCCGCCAATTAAAGCCCTGAAGAGACCAATAGTTATACCTGTCTGTCCGTCAGTTAAGATGGAAAACTACATTAAACCATTTGCTGGGGAAACGAAACAGAACACAATTAACACCGTCTGCTCTCCATCACTTCTACGTTCAATTTCAATTATTGAAACTATTTCAACCAAAATCGAGTTGAAACCTGGTTATTCCGTCGTTGAATAACCTGCGAATATCGATGTCCCTGTGACTCTGTGCCTGTGCTTGAGTGACATTCGTCCTAATTCGTAAGCGTTGACTTTTACCGGCATTTCAATTAACCCAATTAATGGACGGGACCTAATTAAATTTTGAATTCATGTTGCACACACACACACACACACACACACTCGCAGAGAGCCACGCACACAGATACTCTGCAGTCAGCTGTTTCTGCTGGCCAGCTGTCCTTCGCTCCGTCTCTTTCTGTTTGTGCAAGTGCGAGAGAGATGACGCGCCTTGCTTTTGGGGGTTGATAGCAACGGCGGTACCATCGCTGGGTTAATAGGGGGCTGCAGTGGGTTAATGGGGGTAGTGGGTGGTGCTGCTGCTGTAACAAGTAACAAGTATGTACTAATGTCGGCGTCTGGCTAACTGAGAGACACGGCGCGGCGGCTATGAATGAGTGTCCCGAACGGGGAGTCAAGTTGAAACTGAAGCTCGATGACCTTGATTATACAACACAGTAGCTACAGTAGCTACAGCTACAGCAAAAGCAACAGTAACTGTAACTGGAAACCCTTGCCATCACCACCCCCACAAAAAAATCCCCAAGAAGCCACTCCTTCAAGAGAATACCCTACGTCAAATAAAAATGGTAAAAATAGTGAGGGGGGTTTCGAGAGGCACTTGGAAAAATATTATTTAAAATTATTTTCAAGGATTTGGAAGGAAATTCGTTAAACTAATAATTAAAGAATATTTAATTATTACTTAAAAAGCATTTATGTGACATTTTGCCGCTAAAAATGAATCTATAATTCCCAAGCAGTTAAAGACTAAATTTTAATGAAAAATAATTTAAATTAGGCTAAGCCACAGTTAACGCTACAAGGCAGCAAATCTGTAACTCTACAGCCTGTTTATTTCCCAGCAATTTAAGGAAGTTAGCTTTTATAATTCCCAAGCAGTTCTAGCTTATTTTGGTATACAAAAATTTAAATTAAATTGAATAACGTCAGTTATGACACCCTTGCTTTTATTTCAATCAAAAACCAATCACATTTTTTAAGCCTAAATGTATTGATTCAATTTAATTTTGTTTATATCTTGCTTAAAGATTTAAAATCCCCTTTTTTCTACCAGTGTAGCCCCTAGAGTCGTCGATGGTAACTGGTAACTGGCATTACAACAAATCATCGGCCGGCAAATGTTGGCAACTGGGTGCCAAGTCAACGAACTGCTAACCGCAACACCGACACGTACACACACACACACACACACCACACACCATATACTATATATATATATGATGCCACAAAAGGGGGTCCTGTGGGCGTGGGCGTCATTAAAATTGCAACAGGGCCTTGAAGCCAGAGACCAGAGAAACCCAGAAGGAGAAGAGTAAAAGAAGCAAAGGGAGAGAAAACCAAAAGACAAAATCAAGAGATCAATAATTATTATGATGTTGCACAAGCACACCCGAAAAACGAGACGCCTTGCAAGCCGCAAGAACCGAATTCTTTGGGCCAAGTCAAGACAGGTGAGGCCAGGCAACGAACCGACGGTGACGGACGGGGGTGGAGTTTTCCCAGCCGAAAAGTTCGACAAGCGCATTACAACAATTCCAAAACAAGGCTAAGAGGGGGAAGGAAAGGGGTAAAAGCGGCGGTTACAAGTGCAACCATTTTGTAGTACAAACTTCGAAAACCAAAAGCGAAATTGGCAAAACAAAAGGCCAAAAGGGTGGTCCTAGGAGTACCTCCATTTGTGGACTTTGTGGATCCCTTGCGTCGCTCTCTCTCAGGCTCCCCTGGATCATGCGCACTCTGACCAACCGATTGGCCCGCTTCGCCGCCATTTAGAAAAGGAACGTTGCTGCCGTTGTGGGAAAGAGACCGCCTGAGCGGGCCAATGCCAACACCTGTTCCTGTTTCGAACTCCCCAGATACTTATAGACCGAGGAGGCAAAAAAAGCAAGGCAGAACAAAGCGGCCTCAGAACCGGTTGCCGATGGTGCGCACAGATATTTGTCCCGCTCTAACCAGCGCCCGGTATCCGTCAGATACATTTCGGGGTGAGTGCGTCGCGGAACGAACGCGCCGGGGCATCCGTCGGATGCGACGAACCACCGGCGCGGTTCAGTCGTTCAGCAGTCTCCGCACCGTGAGCATCGCTCGCCCGAACCGCGTTCGCTCTTCGCTCGCCACCTCGTCGTCGTTCGTTTTGGTCGTCGGTCGTCGATAAAACCGAATCGCAACGGAACGCAACACGCAACGGATTGCAATCGTCGGGTTGCCGTCGCCTTTTTTGGATACGAGATATACAAGATACGAGATACTCTCAGCCTCAGCAAATCCAACAGATACGCGCGCGCCTGATCCCGAGTGTTCTGTGAACCGAAACTCCAGCAAAGAAATAAATAAATTATATAAATTATATATACCAAGTGCCTTAGATATAACCATACAATCCTGCTTTGCTCAAATGCCCGAAACTTCAACTAGAGTTCGGTTTTGAAAAATATTTGAAAAATATTAAACCCCAAACCCAAAGCCGAACCCAATACCCCCAATCTCGAGTGTGCTTCGCCGAGTGTCCTGTCAGCCAAATATATGGTAATGGCAGAGATTGGTGGCCATTTGGCTCACCAGCTACCGTTGCACAATCACAATCACAACCACAACCACAATCAAACTGGATTACAGCCATCGCTGGTGATGAACCATCACCTGGATTTGGATTGTCATGGACACGATGTGATAAGTGAGTACCTACTACTAGGTGTAGCATCCAGGGGAGGGAAACTTAATACAGGCAGAAAAAAATGGAAACAAAAGGTTCTATAGTTTAGATTGTATATTTCAGAGATACAGATGTCTCCTTTGTATCTTTTAAATACAATTGTTTGTGCAAAGCATCTCTGTTTTTGTTGGATTTAGGGTAATATCTTGTTTAGGGTTTCGTTTAGATGGTTTTTAAGATTAAAGAGATAGGTTTGGGCCGGGAAATATAAAGGTTACTTTGTTGTTAATATGTAAGAGAGGTTGATGGAGTAATTATTACTTCATTACAGCTTTTAGAATGACATTTTAAAAATATATTTAATAATACTTAGTTTGTTATTAAATATTTGATGCTTTTTTTCAAACAAACAAGTAGCTTTATTATCTACTTATTACCTCAGAAAGCATTTCTTCCCTTAAAAACAAACAAAAAAGTACATTTAAAACTATATAGAGCTCTCCCCAATATATCTTACTAGAAAAAAACCCTAAAATCCAGCTCTAAACTCTATTATTTCCCAAATTTCTAGCCCCAAATTAATCTAATTAAATAGACCAAACCAGAGTGTTGTATCATTTACCGCTAATAAAGCTATTTAAAGCAGTTAATGACTTATTTATGGCCATTGTCGTAGTCCCCGAAAAAAATAACAAAATATATAAAAATTGGACAAATTAAAGTGCCATTAAAAGTGAGTGGAGCCCACAGAGTAATCACTGAACTGTAACTTTCTCAATATCGAAAATAAACACATAATGAAAGACATTAAAAAACCCAGACCATAAAAAGAGTCAAGAGCCGTGTTAACAAATGTCTGCAACAAATAAAATCTTGACAAAATACAAAAACCCAAAGATATCAGAGTTAGATGTGTGAAAAGTTAAAGATCAGGGCTAAAAGTAAATAATATTTAATTCAGACTCCAAAGATCTTGATCCAGCAGGTCAAGTTTATGTGTAATGAAGGCTTTTAGAGTAAATTTTAAAACGCAAAAATCATTAAAAAGGGCTGAACTCTGACTTACCTTGAGATATATTATTATTTTATATTGAAAAGATCGAAGGCGAAGGCTGAAAGATAAAGAAACGTAAACAATTAAAAATCAACGAAAAATTAATAAAAATAAATATTTTGCTATAGAATAATGGGCCATAATTTGTATTTTATTAATTTGGTAGAAAAATTAAAATTATGATCAGTATCTCTGAGAGAACTCTTTTGTAATGGTTTTCAGACCCCCCTCTTTGAATGGCAATAACTTTGAAATAATAGCTGTATTTTATTTTAAGCACACTTTACACTTTTGTATAGTATGCCCGGCCAATTAACAGTTGAATGACATTTTAATGCCCGAGCAATTAAGCGCAACGAAGCAATTTCATGAAATTAAATGCGATCAAAAATTTATCCCATGCGAGCGAGAGACATTTTTTCAGCTAGACAAAAGTTTGTGTGTTAACCGAAAAATGCATTTTATTTTATTCATAAACCAAGAGTGTCATTAAAAAATGCGGGACAGCGGCAAATATATATTTTATTCAAAATGCTAAATTGTGACAAATGTTTTTTGTATATTTTTCGACTGACAGTTTGTGTCTAACCGCAGAACACAAAAACCAAAAACAATAACAAAAAAACACAACAGAAAATTAACAGAAAAATAAAAAAGGGGGAAAAATCATAATCATAATCACACACACACACATAAACAGATTAAAATTTAATTATGAATGAGCGACAAATGCAGATACATTTAGATACAAATTTATAACATTTAAATTGCATTCGTTTGTTCCACGCAAAATGTAATTGTAATTTCAATTCAAATTAGTTGTCGCTGCTGCTAAATATTTAATGGCTGCCCCTGGAAAATTTTAATTTGAAAACTTTTCTATAAAGTTTTGCAAAAAACTTTAAAAGTTTGTCTTTTGCCTGCCTTCGAGTTGATATTTGTAATGAAAACAATTTTTGTAATTCTATTTTTAAGCTTTTATCTGCCTTTTCTTTCTCTTTTCATCGTCCGAGCCGAGTTTTGTTTGTTTGTTGATTTTTGTTTTTGTATTTTTTTCGAGTGCTGTAAACATTTTAATGAGTTTTCCATGTCACACACAGGCCCACTCCCCGCCAAACCGTCAACATGTCGCTGGCTAACTTCTCAAGTAGTCGTTAAATTAATTAAATATAGTAGGAACTCCACCGAGCTTTTGTTTATTCTTCATCTTTTTTGTATTTTTCTTTTTTTTTGACAAAACGTAGCCTATTGCCTGGCGTTGGACTAGTTTCGACTTTGCAGACCATAAAATTGTACAACTTTATGACAATTATTCGCGGCCATAAAAATCAAACGATTTTTTGGTTTTTATAGTTTACCAATTAGCCAAAAAAAAAAAGAAGATTCGAATAAAAATTGCGTTTTGTGTTGCTTCCTAATCTAATTTATATTGCTCCTCGCTGGCTAATTTGCATAATAAAAAATACAAAAACAGAAAGTTAATTGTGAAAAATTGACTGGGCAAATGTTTAACCAATTCACCAAAAAAGTTGAAATAATTTTGGAAATAATTTGTAAAGTGTCAATCGATGGCTTTATAAGGCTAAGAGCTGAGAGAATGGCACCAAGCTTCGGTTTTTTGGTTTAGTTTAGAGATGCCCTCCGAGTGATAGATCACAGATCTCTTTGGGGTTTATTTATAGAGTTTCAGTGAAAGGGGAGGTTAACAGAGTTAACGTAACGTTTGGGCCATAAAATTAATTATATTACCATTCTAAACGGGCTTCGATCGCATTTTTTTTATTGTTTTTGCTTAGTATTTTGATTAGTTTGTTTCGGACATCATCGGTAGTTTCACTGGGTTAAGGTTTTAAAAATTGATTGAATATTTGTTCGAGTTGTCATAGCTTTAGTTTTGTGTTTTGTTTTATTTATTTGGAGAATTTATTTATTTAATACAATAGCTCGTCGTTGAGGTAGTAAATCAGACAAAACAAAAATATATTTAAATATTTACGCTTTTAGTTGTTGGTCTATTGTTTAATTTTATGATAATGAAAACAATATATAATTTTAAAATGGAGATTGAAAGACGGTTAAAATTGAAAGGAAAATTAAGTAGTTGATTTATTTCTAAACAAACATATTTATTTATATTTTTAATAATTATTTAAAAAATATAAATAAAATATTTATTAAAATATTTATTTATTCAGATTTTGCAGTATCTCAGACCTGTTTTTAAAGTTCTTTTAAATATTAAATTAAACAAAAATCAAAGCTTCATAATTTTTGAATTTCTTATTTATTATTAAACTCAATTATTTTAATCAATTTTAATTTCTTTCCCTGAAGCCAAAACAACTTGTTACCAAAACAAGTTCAGCTTTGAGTTTAGACAAATCTTTGCCCAAAAAAAAAACCAAAAAATATAAACCAAAAACTGACGTCACGACAAAAAGACCACACCCATTAGTGTGCCAATGGCAGACAGACGTTATCTATATTTTATGAGTTCCTCTATCCGAACAAAAATTCCTGTTGTCTCCGGCGGACAATGTTTTTTTTTTGTTTTTTGTGTTATTTTATTTTTGCCTTCCCGTTTCCGGTGAGCTGTAGAGTTTTATATCGGAATCCCCGCCGAGGATTCGAAGGATTCAAGGGGTGTGATAAAGTTATTTAGGCGCAATCCATAAATTCCCGAAAAACAGAACCCAAAAAAAGGCTGAGGCGAGACTGGGGAACGTAAATCCCAAAAGCTTATCTGATTTTGCACTTCAGGCTCCGGGTACTAGATCAATATGTTATGTTATGGTCGAGTTTGGATTTTTGTTTAGTTTTCTTCTTTTTTTTTTGTCAGCCTTACCTGGCAGCTGTGCTGCGCCTGCGCCCTGTGACTGGAGTCTCCTGTCTCCCGTCTCCTGTCTCTTGATTTCTCCTATCAAATATATTTGAATTTGTGGCCCAGACACACATCCCCACACATAACTTGAAGCCAGGTACGGGTATATCTTTGCCCCTTTTTTTCGCATTAATTAACAGCTCGCTGAGTTGAGAAATTAGGGAATTATGCCTGGAATTTCCGTTCACAGATGAGCCAAAAGCAAACAAAAACAGCTATATTGGGGGTCTGATTAGTCTGATTAGGCCAGAAAAAGTCACAGAATGATAATGAAGATGGTGGATAATTGTGGGGAAGCCAGATTGGATTTAAATTGGGAGTTTTGGAGGCATTTCCCATGGGTTTTTGTCAGTGTTTTCTAAAAATTTAACTGAGAAACTATAAGGGAATATATTTAAGGAATATTTTATGCTGTAGGAAAGGCATAAACAAGTTTACAGCTTTTTTTTACAATGGATTCTAATTTACTAAGAATTTTGGATCGAATCTTCCTAAAAATTATTATTCTTTTATATTAATAATAAAATATTAAGCAATATAATTTGTGAAAATAAAGACGTAATTAAATGTAATTTATTCAAGTGCTTGAAATATTTGTTGCACTAAAATTTTTAATTCATTCCATAAATAACTCAATTTTAACCCAAAAAAATTAATTAAAAAATCTCTTTTTAAATCTCCGTAAATTCTCTGACACAACTTGATATTAAAGTCCCTATTTTATGTTCATTTAAAAGCCTTTAAGTACAAACCCTCGACTTTGCCTCAATTAAAGTACTCAAGTCTTCAATTAAAGCCAAAAAATCCACAAATTTTGTGTTAATTTAAGCTGAAGCCAAGTTTTGGCTTAAAGCCGAAGCTCTCTAACCTAATTAATGCACTTCCAGATATTCCTTAACCCCTTGAGCCCCCTTTGGAATGAAATTGGGCATATTAAAGCAGCCGACAGCAGCCGCCTATTAAAGTGCAATTAAAATTTTTTAACTCTGCTCGTGTTCTTTTTTTTTCGTCTCTCACATTTTTTTTTTGTTAAAGTTCATTCAAGGTGTCAGCAGCTTGTCAAGGTGAGAGGCGGCTACTGTTTGC